GAGACCCGGCCGGCCGAGATGCTGGCGGGGAACGTGGTGGAGGCGTCTGAGAAGAAGGAGGACGAGCCCTGGTGCGACCGCTAGGACCTCCAGCAGGATCTCCAACTTGCTGCCGAGCTTGGGAAGACAGCACTCGGTCGGAACCGAGGCGGAGGCCTCCCTCCAGCAGGTGCACACAACAGTCGGGAGCAGCCGCAGGAGACGGAGGATCTGACCAAGCAGATGGAGCTCCCGCCGCAGCTGCAGGAGCAGCGAGCGAAGGTCCATGAGCACCTCGTTGTCCCAACAAGGGAGCTGGATGAAACCAACCAGCAGCTTGTTGCGGGCAGCACGGCCGCCCAGCAGAAGTTCCTGAGTGTGATGGAATTGATCGGAAGCCTGAAAGCCAGCGTCCATCGCCTCCAGAGCCACGTGGAGGAGCTGGAGTCCTGTGGCCCAGCGGGGAGGAGCCAGGGGAAGCGTGGCCCAAAGTCCGCACCCGGCTTCCCGGGTGGGAGAGAGCTGTGTGACCCACGCCAACACTGTGTGTGTGGCCACGAGTTTGCAGCAAAGATCGCTTCCTTGCCAGGTCCGCCAAGCCCCTACACGGAAGAAAATAAGCTGTTGAAGAAGGCGGCGAGGACGCTGCTGGCGCAGCTGAGCCTGGAGCAGCAGCGGCGGGGGGCCTTGGAGGAGCAGTTCGGGCTCGTGCTGAAGGAGAAGGCCCGGGCGCTGGAGCTGGAGGCTGAGGTGGCTGAAATGCGGCGGGTGCTGCAGTCGGAGCGTCTCTTCGTGCCTGGGATCGAAAAGCTGGTGCCCGACTCCCTATGGGTCCCGTTCAGAAAGCCCGGCCGGAGCCTGCTGGACGAGATGCCACTGACGGTGCCCGAGGCCCAGCGGAGGCCCCTCCCGGAGCCCCTCCAGCGCAGCAGCAGCTGCAGCGAGAAGGTGCTGAGCAGCTTGGCGGGCGGGGACATCGGCAAGAGCCACGAGGGGACCTGCATCCCGCAGGCCAAGGCTGCGAAGCAGAGCGGTGTGTCCCGGCTGCAGGAACTCGACACACAGAATAGCGCCCTGAAGGCCAGGTCCGAGGAGCTGCTGACGGAGTGCCAGCAGCAGAAGGGGGACTC